CATGCAGAACAAGTTTATTTTTTACCATATAGAGTTGCATTAAACTCGGTGGACTATATTATATAGTTGCCATAGGAACGATCATATGTTAGTATTGAAAACTTGTTTGCTTATTACAAGATGGTCGCCACATTTTATAATTATGGATTTTGTATAGTTCCTCACCTATCATAGGAACGATCGGTGCAGAAATCAATCTTAGTACCTAAATGGTAATCAAAATTGATATTTAGAGGTTTTTTTTTAAATTTTTATTTAGTGCCTCACTAAACTCTTCTATCGTTTTATTAAAATTGGATCTACTTGTATATAATATCCAACATTAAAGTGTAAAAGTGCAGCTGTTTTTCGGCTTTAGAAGGGTCTTTAATTACAATGCGGTAATGATGCTTGGAAACCTTTTTAAGAAAGCAATCTCTTTTTATTGACGTAATTTTTCTGACATCGAGTTTCTGTTCTTGGTGGTTGTTTATAGGGTGGTTGGACTGTATGCGTGCGTGCGTGCGTGTGTGTGTGTGTGTGTGTGTGTGTGTTGTGCCAAAAGGACTCGCCCGGCATTCGTTTGCAGACTCGCAGGGCGGCGCGCTGTTTCTATATAGATGTACTATAGATATATATGTATATATCTGCATGTATGTGTGTGTGTGTGTGTTTTTGTTAGTTTTTCTTGTATGCCTTTTACCGTTGCCTTTTATTATATATGCCACATGCACATAGTATGTACGTACGTCCGTATGTAGATGTATATATTGTAGACACATTCACATACATACAAATAGTTGTGCGTGTGGCACAAGGCGTGGTTGGCGTTGGGTGGCAACTCTGGCAGCTTTGTTAGCTACCATGGACTTGTGGGTGGCGGACGACTCTGAGAATGGATGCTGTGTATAGAATGCATATACATATATGTATATAAAGGCATCAAGTATGCGCACATGTGTCGCTCTCTATATATAGTATATGTATATATATATATATATATATGTATATCTATGTTTGTGTATATATCTGTATATGTAAGTACGTGGGTTGTTGTTTTTGTTCTTCTTCTTCTTTTGCTGCTGCTGCTGCTGTTATTTTTCAACTTTTCGTCAACAAAACAAAAATTATTCAAGCTGAAAGTTTTAATTATTTGTATGCTGCTGTCTCTATTACTGCTGTTGTTGTTTTTGTTACTGGTAGGGTTGTGGCTGCCACCAGAACTTTAAAGGCTAGCCAGCCGAGCAAAAAAAATCTTATTATGGCAACAACAGCCAGCGCTTGGTTGCTCATCGTATTTGTATAAAGTTATTTGTTTTAATGTTTAGAACATTGGACTTGGCTGTTATTATTAATTGGAATGACAAAAGTTGGAAATTAGTTGCGACAAAAAGCTCCAGATTGGAACTGCTGGCTGGGGCACAGTTCGGAGTGAAGTACTGAAAAAAAGTAGAGAAACTAAAGTGTATGGGAATGTGACAAAAAAGAGCAAAATATTTAATTATTGGAAAATTTTCCATTTAAGCGGCTAACATGTGACCACAAAGTTTCCGGATTCTGTATGCCTATTTTCTTATTTCATTTATGGCACTGTTTAGCTGACATAGTGAAGGTGTGAGATCTGCTGACTAATCGGAAACGGGCCTATATTCGATTTCAATTTATTTTTGCAATTTTGTGTTGCGAATACATTTTTCTGCGACCCTTTTGACCTTTAAAGATGTATGTCCACAAGAAAAGGATGTGAAAAGCTAGCATTATGCAGAAGATAACTCATATCTCAGTTTTCAAGCTAAAACTCAAAATTATTATTATTATTTTTTTATAATAATAGTAACTGCCGTATCGAAAGTGCTTTTAGTACGTACGGTCGGCAACCCCAATATTGGAATTTTCAAATTACAATTATAGCTTGGAACCAAACTCTCCTAGCTGGAACGTATTACTCGCTGTAAATAAGGCAAACCAATTTCTAAAATGTCTCAAATTTAGTCTCATTTATGTTAATGATTAGTACCAATATTTTCTCAATTTCTCAAACACGCATCCATTTGTCCGTCTGTCTGTATGAACCTCGAGAACTTTTGAACCATAAGAGCTCTGGATGTAAAACCTGGCATGTCAATATATCTTATCCATCCATAATCAAAGTATATTACAAACCCTTTACAGCTGACAAAAAAACTATCGGGCCAAAAATGACTCTTAGTGGGATAGGTTTTTTGTTTATTAAGAAGTCGTCAAATTTCGTATTAATGAGTTTTTTATTTATGTATTTGTTCTTTCTCACTATAATGTGAAGTTTCATCGAAATCGGTGTACTCTAGAATATGGCAGTTATTTCTGTTATTCTGCTAGAATCACTTTAAGTAGAATAAATCACCTGTTGAGGACGATATCGTAACTTAGTTTGATATTTACGAGTGCTATATAATGCCTGATAATAAGCTTAAATTGCAGCAAAATCGGTGTACTATATCATTCATGTAGCTGTGGTAGGAACATGTTGTGAATAAATCACAGCGCAACAAAATTTGCAATTTATTTGTTTGTTGTTATGCTAATTTGAATAAATAAATTGGATTTGAATTGAAGAACTGTTGTTGGAGTGGAGGGGGCAGCAGCAGCAGCAGCAGGAGTAGGAGCAGGATATACTCGATTTTCTCTTGATTGTGCAATCAAAGGGATTTGCATTTGAAGGACTTCTGCTTGAGAATAAGCTGCAAATAGTAACTACTTTATTGCTATTATTATTATTTTTGTGCCTAATGCTCAATATGTTCGGCTTAGATCTGCATCGGAAATGAAATCCTTTTGAACTTTTGCTCCTTCGATGGAATTATTGCATGCAATTTGTGTGCTAGTTACATAAAGACATACATAGATACAAAGGTACTCGTATATACAATGTGTAGATATTTAAGATGCTTATAATTTAATTCCAACAATTAATTGCTACGTCCTTGTCTGTGCCACTTGTAACATTTTGAGCCCTTAACCAAAATTTGAAACACAATTCTAATGCCAATTTCTCTCTCTCTCTTTCTCTTTCGTTGCAGGTAAGACATCTTCAACGAGCAAACTCTCACAGACACACACACACACACACATACAAACATACGGACGTTGTAATGAAATGTTCAAGTAATAAACGCTGTCCAATGTCCATTTGTCGTAAGTCCTCGTGATGATGTAGCAAGCAGGAGGGGAACGGGAACTGTGTTGCTGGTGTGTGGTGTGTGTGCGTGGAAGGTGGTGTGTGTGTTTGTCGTTGGGAGAGGGGGTGTTGGGGGGGGGGGGGGGAGGGGTAGATGGTTCAGTATTACGCCTGTTGTGTCGTCTGGTCTGGTCATTGATGATTGATGGTCGCCTGATTGAGCTTAATGATAGCGTGACAAATGTACAGACCGACAATCAAATACGAATACATACATACAAACACATACACATACATTTGTACATAGAAACTGCCTTTAAAGCGTTTTCATTCTTTAAATATAGCAATGGGCGTTGTGTGTGAAGTGTGGCAACAACGCATTTTGTGTTGCGCATGCAACAAAAAAGACAATTGTTGAAGCAGCCCACAAAACCAAATAACAAATGATGCCAATAACAACAGTAACAACAACAACAACTACAACAACGACAGCAGTTGCTTGCTTGTTGTGTTCCATAAATATTTAATGAATCAATAAAGAGTGTTAGTGCTTCAGTTGTTGTTGTTATTGTCGTTGCAGCTCCCTTGTCGCCACTGTCCCCCGCCTCACAACCAATTGCAGTCAATTTTTCGAGCATCACTCAATTTCATTAGAGGCAGCGACGCTTACGTCGCCGCCGGTGATAGTTTTTGGCAAAATTTTGCGTCCGCCGCGGGTCAAACACGTCGCACGCTTAATCAAACATAACGTGCATGTTGTTGTTGTTGTTGCTGCCATTGCGATTGCAGTGGCAGTGACGTCGACGTTGACGTTGACGACGTTGAGGTTGCAACGGATGCAGCTTTTAACAATTTAAATATGTATGTGCTGTCAAAGTCAGTTGCATGTTCGTTTCGCACATGCTGCTACAACATGCTGCTGCAACATAAATCAACTTGGTTCGATGTTGCGGCTCGTTGCCCACATGTTCATACGCCGCCATACTGATTTCACACGCACTCACACACACACACACACACACACTAGCATACACATGTATAATTACAGGCGGCACACGGCCACACGAAAACGAGCAGTACAGCCAATTTTTGTGCCTCTCTCTCTCTTGCTCTTTGTTGACATTGCGCTCTTGCTCGCACACGCATAGCATACGACCGTGCTGTGAGGTTTGAGTCTTCGCTTAAATATTCACCGTTACGGAATTTGAAACGCTGAATTGACTGTTTTGTCTAAAAACAAAAATGCTTCGATTCATACAAATATTTGATAGCGGAATAAAAATAATTTCAAATAATTTAGATGCCTTAAGAGAATTTCAGTAATTCTTAAGAGTAAACAAACAAACAAACATGAACATGTCACAATATACTCGTTTTTACAAAGAATTTCCTATTTTAGAAGTAGGCTTTGAAAAGTAAATTCCAAAAGAAGTTCTTGTACGCTCGTGAACGTGTGAAAATAGAAATTATTTATTGGTTTTTGTCAAGACGCGACGAATTGATATTTGAAAGATATTTTGCACCACAAGGCCTAGAAATTACCGACTTCCTTGGGGACTGACTTCACATTTTTGGTATGAGTTACTAAAACAATATTAAAATCTGCCAATTCGTAAGCAGAATAACTATTAAATACATATGTATGTATGTACATAAGTAAATACATGTGTGAGGGTCGAAGGGGTTTTATTTTTGCGAAGGTGTTGAATTTTTCTTTATAACAAATGGACATTGAGACAAGATTGAATGGCATTAGCGTCGACTTATTTGGAAATACATACATACATATGTGGAAATGATCCCTAAACCCACCTTACACATAAATCTAATAATCTGTTCTTTTTTCTCTCCGCTGGTCGTACAGAGGGATGGAGCAGCAGCCGCAGCAGTACGTCAAAAGCATTGGACACCTGCAACAACTCCATGCGCCCCCGCCTACGTCCCAGCATCTCCACCACCACCACCATCAACAGCAGCAGCAGCAGCAGCAACAACAACAACAACAGCAGCAGCAACAGCAACAGCAGCAGCAACAACAGCAGCAGGCTCAGGCCCAAGCTCAGGCTCAAGCCCAAGCACAGGCTGCAGCAGTGGCTCAGGCTCAAGCACAGCAGCAACAACAACAACAGCAGCAGCAGCAGCAGCAACAACAACAGCAGCAGCAGCAGCAGCAGCAGCAGCAGTCATCCCGCTCGGCAGCTAGTCCCCTCTCACCACCACGTCCCTTACCGGGTAGCGCGGCTGCCGCAGCCGCTGCCAACAGTTACGCCAAATTCGCGGATGCACCACATCGGTTCATTCAACAGCAGCCGTACACACCCAGTTTTGGGCCGTACCGCGAGATTCCCTACGCGCGAATACCTCAGATACACGCCACGGTGCCGGACTATCGGGCAGTTCGTGCCGCTGCCGCAGTTGGCGGCGGTTGCAAGAGTGGACCACCACCAGGCGCGCCTGGTAGCGGGGTGGTGCAGGTTGGAGGCGGTAGCATGGCACCACCGCAAACGGGAAGTGTGCTCGTCATGGACGCCATGTCTCACTATGCCCAACAACAACAGCAGCAGCAGCAGCAACAACAACAACAACAGCAGCAGCAACAAACACAACAGCAGCAGCCACCGCCGACGCAGGGCAGTAGTGGAAACACCGCAGTCAATGCCGCCCAGCAACAAAATAGCGGACCACCCACCAGTGGTGTTGGCCCAGGGGGCAGTGGTGGCGGCCTAATGATCGCCGGGCAACGTGTGTTGTTGCAATCCCATGGAGCGGTGCATCCGATGCAGTACGCCCCTGAATATCTGACCAATGCCGCGGCGACTGCAGCGGCTGCAGCAGCGGTCAGTCAACGGCATCAGCAGCAACAGCAGCAGCAGCAACAACAACAACAACAGCAGCAGCAACAACAACAACAGCAGCATCAGGCGCCACCGGAACCACCCAGTGGTCAACCGTATAAGAAGCAGCGTCTCAGCGAGCCCAGCAATGCCAGCAATTTGAATCACCTGCCACATCAGCAACAGCAGCACCAACAGCAACAGCAGCACCAGCAACATCAGCAGCAGCAGCAGCAGCAACACCAACAACAACAGCAGCACCAGCACCAGCAGTGTCAATCCTCGCCAGCTAATGCTCAGGCGCAAATGAATAGCAGCCGGCAGAGCAATCATGGACCGCCAGTGCCCTCCACCGTCCCCGCGCATCATGCGCTCTACATGAAGCCCCTCGCCATGCAGCAACTGAAGGTGGAAACCATCCAACCCTCTCAGATTACGTCGGCAGCAACGGTGGCGGCTGCAGCAGCGGCGGCAGCAGCGCACACATCCCGCACTCTGACCCCCGTGGTAACCACAGTGATGGCCTCTAATAGTGGCTCCAGTTCAAGCAGCTCAGCAACTGTTGTCTCCAGCATTGCCGGTGTCTCCACATCCACTCTACAGAGCGCGGCAATAATTGGCAATGCATCGGCGCCAGCCCCATCGAGCAGCAATGCGACGGGAGCATCCACAACGGAGGCCTACCATCCACAGGTGAGTCGGGTAATCAAGCAACCTGGTATCGAAAATCGCAAACTTGAAAACTAAGACGCTGTCTAGCCGATACTTTATTCATCTTATGAATGAATCGTTCCGAAAATATCTTGAGTCTCGTAAGGATTGATTACAATATTAATATTTTTTAAGAGTTCAGATCTTACTCTATAGTTGCGGTATAAATCTTAGATTATATACGGTTGTTTCATAAACCAGAGATACTATAATCCAATTTTCGTTATCCAACAATTTTGAAATTCCTTTCTTAGGATTCCATAACTCATTAAATTTCTTTTATCGATTGAAATCATTCAATGTCTTTAAAATAATGCTCTTCCAGCCAGGAGAGAAAACTAACACAAAAATTGAGCACTTCGTGGGGCCTATTTTCTTTATTATCTTGAAATGGTGTCTCTAATAATAATGATCTGTTGGAGTTTAAAGACTTACTTGAGCTAGGCCTTTTTTACGACGAGTTTGTGAAATTCTACGCCATTGTCTGATCGCTCTCCCCATTTTATAAGAAATCGAAATGCTAATTGTGAACATTTTACAGGTGGAGGCCATTTCGCCCACACTGCCAAGCGACAATGCCGAGGAACGTGGCCGTACCACGGCTAAGGAGGAGCTGCTCATGCAAATTCAGAAGGTGGACAATGAGATCAAGGTGGCGGAAACCGAGCGAGAAACGCTGAAAAAGAAGGAGAAATCGTTGATGGAGGAGGTGGCTGCGGTCAGTAAGCAGCAAAAGGCAGCGGCGGCAGCAACGGTCGATGTCGCATCAACGTCAAAAGCCGCCCAAGCGACAGATAGCAGCAACATCCACGATTTGAATAATGAGATTGTGCAGCGGGCATGGCACACACAAATGCTGGCGCAAAAGATTTACGAGGCGAACCGAAAAACGGCGAACACGCAACATTCCATGCTGGAGGGATTCAAGGCCGTTGATCATGCGAATTACTGGCTGCCGCTCTATTTTCAGCCGCTGGATGTTAATTCGCTGGCGGTGTTGATTAAGCGGCATCAGACGCTCGTGAGGACTCCGTTGCTGCAGCATATACGCAAGCTGAAGGCGGATCGGTGGGAGCGCAATCAGAGTCTCGTGGATAAATATGCTAAGGATCAAGCGGACTGGCAGCGGCGGTGCGAACGGGCCGAAGCGAGTGCCAAGAGAAAGGCGCGTGAGGCCAAGAATCGTGAGTTCTTTGAGAAAGTCTTCACGGAGCTGCGGAAACAGCGTGAGGACAAGGAGCGCTTTAATCGAGTCGGTTCGCGCATCAAGTCCGAAGCAGATCTCGAAGAGATCATGGACGGGCTGCAGGAGCAAGCATTGGAGGATAAGAAAATGCGCTCCTATGCCGTCATTCCGCCTCTCATGCATGACGCCCGTCAGCGTCGTTGCGCTTACCACAACGAGAACGGACTCATCGAGGATATGGTGGCTGTGCATGAAGAGCGCAAGGCGCTCAACATGTGGACAGCCGGCGAAAAGGAGACTTTCAAAGAAAAGTATTTGCAGCATCCCAAGAACTTTGGCGCCATCGCAGCCAGCTTGGATCGCAAGTCGGCGCAAGACTGTGTGCGCTACTACTACCTCAGCAAGAAGACGGAGAACTACAAGCAGCTGTTGCGCAAATCCCGTCAACGCACGCGCAGCTCCCGCAATCCGGCCAAGGCGCAGGCGGCCCAGCCGCAGTCCATTGTCGATTCCATGACGACGGGCGTGACGACGCGACTGCAACGGGAGCAACAGCAGAAGTCCGGCAACCGTTCCTCGGCTGTGGCCGAACGGGAACGGGCCGAGCGTGCTGCCGAGCGTGAGCGTGTGGCCGAAAAGGCTGTTGCCGAAGCGGCCAAAGCGGCAGAGAGTGCGGCTGAGAAAGCAGCGGCCAACAAAGCTGTCGAGGCCAGTGAAAAGGTGGCCAAGAATGCGGCGATTGCGCCAGTGGCGGCAGCAGCAGCGGCGTCCGTTCAAACCACCGGAAGCGTAACCGCCAGCGGCAACAGTAGCAGCAGCAGCAGCAGTAAAAACAGCAGTAGCAACAGCTCCAGTACAACAGACAAGGCAGAGAAATCTGTGTCAGACAAAGTTGCAGCGGCTGCAACAAAATCCAGCCTCGTCGAGATCTCAGCGGGCAGCGCAGGCAGCGAGCCGAACAAGCTCAAAGCCAAGGCCGCTGCTGATGAGGATGCAGCAGCGGCAGCAGCAGCAGCATCCGCATCCGGAGCAGCTAAAACAACAACAGCAGCATCCTCAACAGCAAATCCTGTACCAGCAACAGCAGCTACAAAAGCGACTACAGCAGCAGGAAGCGCTTCAAATGACAACTCCACAACACCCTCGGCAGCAACAGCCGGAAATGCTGCCAAGTCCAAGCTCGACACCGTTAGGGATGCGTCCAAGACACGCTCTGAAGCGCCCACGGAAACGGTCGAACAACAAAAGGCAGCAGCGGCTAAAAGTAAAGCTACAGACAACGCCAATGGTAAGCATCTCGAGCTCCCGAATCTCAAATCATCACTAATTATTCAAAATTTCAAACTTGCAGCTACGAATGCAGCGATCAGCAGTGGCTCCACGGTATCAGCGGCAGGCGGCGGCGCGACATCCGCAACAGCGACTGCCACACCGCCAGTCAGTGCGGCTCTCAATGGCTTCAAGCCCGGCTACCAGAACCTGGTCATGGCCATGGGTAAGCCAGGCAGCGAAGATAATGCAGCGGGAACGGGTGCAGTAGTTCCCATTCCGGCGCCAACAACGGCCACAAGTAATGCTTCAGCTGCCAAATCTTCGTCGGTGGCGTCTTCGTTCGTAACAACGACAACAACAACAACCTGCTCCGCCGCCTTTGCCGTGCCCACAACTGCTCCGGCAAGCGGTGCCACAATCTCCGATAGCAGCACCAATAAGAACAATGTGACCAACAGCATGCCCACAACACTTACGACGGCCACCACGGCTGGCAACTATCTGGGCCAGAAACTAAAGGCCGCCCAAGTGGAAGGCATGGGTGCGGGCAACGAACTTCATACGGATGTTAGGTAAGAGTCGAGAGGGAGAGTGAGCGAGATAGAAATAGATTCTGTTTCATAATAAATTGGTTACGTAGGAAAATGTATTACAGGGAAACACAATGCATCGACATTGGCCTTTCGAGTGTGAAAGGGAAAATCAATTGTCTTCTCTGCAGATATTTATTTAAATCATGAGTAGTCTAGTATCTGCTCTAGTCTCTACTCTCTTTTACAGATCTTTAGCTTTATTTCCGTAGAATCTACAATTTCTTAAGCAAACTCATGAACGAATTATGTAAAAACCCCAAGTAAATTCTGATTTATCCTGTCACTCCTCCCGAAATCCTTTTTCAAAAATTGAGTTTTAAAAAGAATCGATATATTTTTCCCTAAGCAGGCATAGTTTTACAATAAGATCAGGGTTTTGTCTTCTATCGTTCATTATTAGATATTCAAGATTATATTTCAAGCTGTAGACATTCTGTTTTCCAGTAAATTAGAATGACTTTAGTTTCTTCTCTGCAGATCTTTGTTCATATTATGACTAGTCTAGTATCTGCTCTAGTCTCTACTCTCTTTTGCAGATCTTTAGCTTTATTTTGATAGAATCTACAATTTCTTAGGCAAGGTAATGAAGGAATTATGTAAAAACCCCAAGTAAATTCACTTCTGAAATCCTTTTTCAGATCTTGGGTTTTAAAATGAATCGATATAGTTTTCACTAAGCAGACATAGTTACATAATAAGATCAGGGTTTTCTATATCATCGTTTTATTGCAGAGCATAACAGAATCTGCTCCGTTCTTAGAGTTCGTAAAAGATAGAATCTTTAATCTTTAATATTTTGCGCGAGATTCTATGTATTTTGCCACAACGAATCGACAATCTTTGGTATTCTAACCCGGGTGGGTTTTTAAATAAATCGTCGACCCTAAACGATATAAATATGGATTAAAACCATTTTGTATATTTATATATATGTATATCAAAAAATGTGAATTCTTTAAGAAAAGTTGTCAGAAGATTGTAAACTAACTTGCAAATCCATTTATATTTTTTCCAGTGATGCCAAGAAGAAACGCTTTGAGGGATCCAACACGGATGCCGTCATTGTCTCAGCCTGCAATAACAATAACAACAATAACGGTAGCAACATCAAGAGCACGGGCAAGGATATCAAGCTGGGCAGCTCCACAGGAGCGGGTGCCTCTTCTCTCCTTCTGATCGCGGCATCCTCCGCCAGCGCTGCAATGACAACCTCAACAACGGCGGCCGCAGCCGCCTCCTTGGCAACTGGTACGTCCACGGCAACGGTTTCAACGGATGGCAGCGGCGTTGGTTCGTTGATGACCACGCCAGATGTCCTGGCATTGGATGGCAAAGGTAAGTGGCTTTAAAGTTTATCCTTTCATAATTACAACTTGGTCCACTCTATTCGTCTGTCACAGTCCTTTTAATGTTAGTTTCTACAGATCTAGCTACTAGGCTATAGAGCCCCTAACGGTTTCAACTGTCAACATTTAAAAGGGCAAAGAAAGCTTTACAACAACATTATAGAAGAGGAAGTTTAGGAATATTTACAAGTTTTCCAACCCGGAAAGGAAAGCTTGTCGTCAACTTAATAGAGCTTTTTTAAAGTTTCGTGACTTTTCTTGAAGTTCTTGAAGCTTTTAGAAAGTGCAGCTTTAGGAGCGAAGAAAAGCTTTAAGCTTTAAGGAACTTAAAGCGGGCTAAAGCTGCTGATTTGAAACTGCAGCCGTTAATGTCGAATGCAACTGCAGTTCTGGACTATTTTCTCGCTCCCTCCCTCCCAAAAACTGCTCATGAAAAATGCATTTCCGAATCGTTTTTCAAAAGTCTCATACTCAAACGAGTATATAGAAATGACGTATACAAATATATACATATATATATATACATCTTGCCTTGCCAGCAACCCCCTGTTTGTTCATCGTATGCTCTCCCTGATGGCCAACGCTGCTGGCTATCTTTGCCGGCATCCCCGCCACCCGTCCGTTATCTCTCGTGCCGCCATTCCGTTTGTCACTCCATAAATATTTTATTAAAAATTCAACTCGCATTGCCTCAAGTCGTCCTGGATGGGGGTCGGTAGAAGAGTTAAAAGCATGCAAAAAAAAAAAAAAAGAAAAAAAGGAGCACCGTCCAACCGCCGCTGCTGAGACTTTCCGCCCACATTCTTTTGCTCTTTGGGTCGCTTGATTGGTGCGTGTCCTGCCGAGGGGGTTGCTACTGCCTCCTTGCTGTTGCCTGCCTGTCAGTCACACTGCGCGGCGCATTGCGGCTTGTTTGCTACCAGCAGCCCCTGCTGGGTACCCCCTAGCACCCAGCCCCCCTCGTCTGTGCCGCCGCTGGCTGCCTGGCTGCCTGACTGCCTGACTGGCTGGCTCGTTGGCTTGTTGGCTGTCATCTCCCTGGCGAGTTAATTAAACTCAATTAAATTAAAATTTTTGTAAACGTCTTTTTTATTATGCAAGTGATTTAATTTAATTATTAAATTGCCGCAACGCTTGTTTGCTCTGCCTGCTGTGCCCCCACCCAACCCCCCTCCCCCCCACACACACACATACACCTACACACTCAAACCACAACAACAACGATAACCATAAAAATAAGCGAAAGTTAAAAAATGTGGTCAAGAGAAACTGGCAACATTTTGAGGTGCTCCGAACAGACCAAAGGACATTTTATTCCGTGGACAATTGTGGTTAATAATATTTGTGAAACGATCAACAGATGATAATCGATCAATTTTCAGCTAAACATATGGTTATGTTTAATCGCTCGCGATTCTTATGCTATTCCATTAAATAGCATTATATTTTTCACGATATCACAATGTTAACCTATGAGCAAGTATATATTAATTGCTTAACTTAGCCAACATTAGTTGCTTAGTTATCGATAAAGAAGTGCGATTCATTTTTATGCTTTTACTTTTACATTTATATCGTTTTAATATTTGTCGATTGATCGTAATTACAATCGTTTTAAATATTTTAATTGAATTGTGTTCTTGCATTTGACAATCATGTTATCGATACTTTTTGCTTGCGTTATTAGGGGAAATGTGCTCCATGTAGCTTAGCTTTCTTATAATTACATTTCATTTGTTAGTTCATTATATCGATAATCTTCTACTGCCTCAATTCGAATCGATAAATGTCTGCATCTGCATCTTTTAACTGTTTTATTTTATTTATGTATTTATATTATTATCGTTACATTTCATTTATTAATCGCCGTTTTATCGATGTACTCTTAGCTAACTTTTAAATCATTTGATTAACGCTTTAATTCGCTTAAATCAATGCACTAGTAGTTAACATTCGACATTGCTGAATATATTGAGAATGTCGCTCAACTTTTCGATATTCGATTAACATTTAAAACTTGCCCGCCCGATGCCAAACAAAAAAATCACATTTTTATTTATAGTTCTTTTTTAATTGTAATATCGTGCTTGCCTTTATTTGTTAAAGCTTTAGAGCAGGGCGACAAAAAAAAAATTGAGCATATACATACAAGTAAGTGTGTGTATGTTATTTTTGTGTGTGCGTGTGTGCGTGTGTGTGTTTTTGTGTGCTAAATTCGTTCATTTGTTGCACTGTGCCAGAGAAAAAGAAGCATACTTTATTGCTGCTGCTGTTCGTCCCTTGTTTGCAACAACTTGGACGTTGCCACAGATTCTGTTGCTGCTGCCGTTGCCGTTGCCATTGCTGTTGTTGTAGATTTGCCCGATGTTGCTGTTGTTGTTATTGTTGCCGCTGCGGCTGAAGATGTTGATGAGGCGGTTGTTGGTGTGGTTGTTGCTGTCGCATTCTCGATTTCATCGGCATGGCACAGCTTGCGATGCTTGTGAACAAAATAGTAGCTGGGAAATTTGCTGCCACAGGTCTTGCAAGGATAATACTGGACATTCATGTCCAGGGGACGCACCTCGCGTCGCAGCAACTGTTCCGTATCGCTCGACGGACTTGTGGAAGTCTCCATTGCGGCACTGCTTGCTGCCAGTGGCTGTTGCTGCTGGTGTGGCTGGGGCTGGCCATTGATGAGTATAGCAGCGGCAGCAATGCTTTTCTTCTCGCTGAGACTCAATGGGTTAAGATGACGCTTGGCGTGCTTCTGGTAGCAGTACTGGGACTTGAAGGTGTGCTTGCAATAGATGCAGACATACAATTCGTGTGTCTGTTGTTGCTTGCGATGCGTTGTTGTTGCCGTCGCGGCTGTTGCTGTCGCTATTGTGGCATGTTGCTGAGGCGTCGCATCGCCGCTATTCTCACTCTCCTCGGCATTTTGTTGCTGGTGTATCTGTTGCTGTTGCTGATGTTGCTGCTGTTGTTGCTGTTGTTGCTGTCGCTGCTGACTGCTTATGGTTTTGGCCATCTGCTGATGGAACGAATAGCTAACACTCTGCTGCGTACGCTGCTCGCCCAAATGGGCTGTTGTCGCTTCGTAGGCATCCGGCTTGTGGCCGTAGGCGGTGTTGAGGATGCGCCGAAAGCGCACAGGCCCATCACAACTGGCCACATCGATGATGAACTTGGCCGGCGCCGGCGCTGTGCCCACTGTGGATGAGCTGGCGTCCAATTGGGCGGCCGGTATGGGCGCTTTAGCCACTTGCAAACCACCGCTAGATTTGCGCTGCTGCTGCTGCTGTTGCTGCTTCCGTGAGTTGCGCGACTTGCTGGACATCTGAGCCGGAGGCGCTACACGTGCCACCACTGGCGGCAAGTGTTTGGCCTGCAATGGATTCGGCTTAACTGTTGTTGTTGTTGCTGTTGTCGTCGTCGCCAGTGTGGTCATCACCTCGGGGGCTTCGGCCAACAGACTTTTGGGCTGCACATCCACACGTTCAATGTTTAGGCTCCCTGCGCTGCTCTCCAACGAACTAACCACCGACACATTGCAATCCATATCGATGTCGGCATCTTCCACATTGGGCTGTGTGTCCAAATCCAATTCTGCCTCATTGTCGGTTATTGTGTTACTGTCAATGAACACCTCAACATCCTCCTCGTCCTCCTCCCGCTCCACCTCCTCCTGTGATGTTGTTGTGTGCACATTGCACTCTAGGGTTAGCAGCGAGGGCGGTGGTGGCGGCGGTGGAGCGGCAGATACATAGGCTGCCACCACAGCCTGTTGTTGTTGCGCGCATTTGTATGCGGCGGCGGCGGCTGCTGCTGCTGCTGCAGCAGAAGGTGGCGGTGGTGGTGGCGGCGCCGGTGGTGGCGGTGGCAGAGGCAGAAAACCAAAATTTGGCATTGTCGCCTTGCTGGGTATGGGTCTGATTATCTTAGAGACTGCGCCAGCATTGTTATTATTATTGTTGTTGTTGTTGTTGCTAATGCTATTATTACTGCTGCTACTACTGCTGCTCAGATAGCCCTCGGTTTGGGCGCGGGCCAGAAAGGAGCTATAATAACGATAAACCGTAAGAGCGCTTTTAAAATGTTGCCCCAAAATTTAAAACACTACAGAAAAACAAGAAATTTTCCAAAATATTTTTGGTTCCTGAACGGTTCAAGAATTATTCCTAAAGCCTAGAAATCTAAGATATCAGAATTACTATACAAAGTATTTTCGCCCGAAGCAAAGAGTTATTTAATTTTTAAAAAACAATTTCAGAATAACTGTGAACATTCAAAGTATTTTCGCCCGAAACAAACAGTTATTTAATTTTTAAAAAACAATTTCAGAATAACTGTGAACATTCAAAGTATTTTTAATTTTTAAAAAACAATTTCAATTTATTTGTTGAACTTCAGCAAGCAACAACAAAAAGTAGAAAATTTCCAAAAAAAAAAAACACCCAACCTTATGATAAGTTTTTGAAACTTTTTAGTATTTTCGTTGACTAGTTTTGAACAATTCTTTTTTTTTAAGTCCAAGTTTTCAACGGTTTGTTGCCTCCTAAAACCCAAGAACCCCCCTAGACTTCCGGTAAACATCCATTTACGCATAATTGAGACGCACCGACAAATCTCGAGAGCACGCGGCATGTGCAGCACATGGGTGGCCAGCAGTACGGCAAATATATTGTCCACATTCAGATCCAAATAGCCCGTATACATGTAGGTCAGCAGAGGTGCGAATTGTTCTGCCGTAACATTTCCCAAATAGAGCAACAATTCCCCGGCTCCGCTGGTCGTCGTCTCATCCAAACGTATGGCCGAACGCAAATAGCCGCTATGCATGCCCAGAACTAGAGCGTGGGCGACAAAGCGTACGGTGGCCGGTGCCGGTCCCACCTCCAGGATAACATCCGGCGGCGTGGACATAACGCTTGACGAGATCGTTGCCGGCAGTTGAGCAACGGCGGCGGCGGTGGCGGTAGCAGTGGCAGCGGCACGACTGCTTCCGGTGTTGCCACCGCTGCTGCCCCCGGTGCTACCCGTTAACCAATTTGTAAACATTGCACATTAAATAGACAACAACAAAAAAAATGGGCAGAAAAAAAAAGAGTCGTCGAACAAGTGCGATAACAGCGATTTGAAAGGAACGCGCGAGCTTGACGGACTACCAGACCGTATCGTACCGTACCGTACCGAACGATAAACGAAGGACCAACAATCAGACGAAGACGACGTCACGTCACGTCACGTGTATAACTCGGTTAAAACTGATGGCGTCTCGTTATGCTGCACGCGTATTTATAGTCAGTCTGCCTCTGCCTCTGCCACTGCCACTGCCACTGTCTCTGTCAGCCTGGCCAGCAGCTTCGTGGTCGTTCGGCTGTTTGTCCTGACGTCGCTGCTTTTGCTGCTGTTCGCCCTCGTCCTCGTCGTCGTCCTCCATCGCTGCTGCGGTGGCGGCGCGTTTGTTTGTTGTTGGTTTGTTTAATTGGTTTGTTCTGTGTGTGCGCTTGGATTTGCGTCAGTTTTTTAATTTCAGCAAATTAACAAATAATATTTGAGCGACAAGCAGCGCGTGCCAATTAACGGCGTGCCAGTACAAAGCCATGTGGGGGTGGAGGAATGGCGGGGGCGTGTAAAAAAAATTGCATATGTGTGTTGCCTACTTTTGTGCGCACGCTGTAAGGCTTGACATTTTACAAAATAACCGTTTCCCAACCGCTTCAAACCCGATTAATAACCGTTTCATAACCGATTCGCAAGTTCAATAAATGAAAGCCTAATTGGCTTTACTTGAATTTTTTTTATTTTTATTTTATTTTTGGAAAGCATTTATATCTGGCGCTAACAACCCTCCATACCACCTTTCTCCCACCCCCCTCTATTGCTACCTTAAACCTTCTTTAGTTACATCAATCTGCTGCATTTACATTTTAGCTTTGCGCTTAACTCACCAAGCTCCCCCAATCCTTACCATCAGCAATCCTCTTGCGGTGTCTCAATCGACTTAATTGATTTGTGGGCATAGCCAAAACATATTTACATATGTGTGCCCATGTTGATTTTCTTTGTGTGTCTGTATGTATGTGCGAGTGAGTGTGTCTGTCTGTATATTGGGTTCCGTTAGATGTCTTGGCTACTTTTGATTCACATGCCCTGTGGCTTGCGGCTGCATTGCCTTCCAGAACAAGAACCACTCATGGTATCTATATGAAAATAAAAAAACCTTCAAAGCATTTGACATACGAACTGTTTTTGGGAATCGTTCATTTATAAATTTATTTGAAAATTATTAGAAAATTTTCCAAGAATTATTAAATTATTAGGTTTGACTAGGACTAGAACTAGGGAGCATAAATTGGACATTTATCGAATATATGTCTTTGAAAAATTACAATTCTCCCTTGAAATATGGAGGATTCCATACTATGAATATAAATGAATATTACTTACATTTATCGAATATATGTCTTCGAGAAATTACAATTCTCTCTTGAAATATGGAGGATTCCATACTATGAATATAAATGAATATTACTTAAATTTATCGAATATATATATATGTCTTCGAGAAATTACAATTGTCCCTTGAAATATGGATGATTCCATAATATGAATATAAATGAATATTACTTAATATACTATAACTAGAAACAATATTAAAGGAGAGGATCAATGCAATACAGGTTGAGAATCTCTTCACATATTCTGAAGAATAAAATATAATACCCCATTTATTGACTAAATAAAACCTGAATTGAGATCCACAAAGCACTTTCATTACCCATTTCTAACCCGAATTCAGATCCACACACACCTTTATCCAACTTTAAGAAATTCAAAAATTACAACAGGGTCACACATTTTTTCAGAGTTACTTTATTTAACAAAAAACCAGTATTTAACGAATTGGATTCATTCATTTTTTTTTTAATTCTACCACAGTTGCTTCTTGCTCTATAAAATGTTGCCGCGCGTCTAGGGTAATTGTAAGTCGTTGTTGTCCTCTTCGGCAAATATGCTCGCTTGCCTTTTTTGACTATTTTTCTAAGATTTCAATCGGGTTGTTGTTTTTTTTTTTGCTGCTTTTTGTGTGGCTATTTGACCATTTGCATGGCTCTTAATTACCGTTACTGGCGCTGCTGATCGGTTTGTTTGTCCCCCCTGGTACTGCCGCCCCCAGTCCCAGTCCCTATACCTGCAACTGCCTGCCCCCACATATGTGACAAGTTTGTCAAAAAAGTTTACCATTCACATACGAGATATGAGCAATCAGTCGGTTGTGGGTTTTATTTATGTGCCTTTGATAGGCTAATTTAATTAAGTTCAGTTGTTGCTGTTGTTGTTGATGTTGTTGTTGTTGTTGTTGCAATTGTTCATTTTACTTTCCATTCCCTTGGACTAACTGACTTGTCTCCCTTAGCCGGTCTCCTTGTCTCCCCCCTGTCCATTCAAATAAAACTTCAATCAAGCGTTAACAATTTTAATTAAATTATTTCCAAATGTAATTATAAATGTGCGTCATGCATAAATTGTGTTATTAATTAATTTAGCAATGCTGACCATTCTTTCATCCTGCCACGCCCTGACGCCCCCAAACATCTCTTCCGCATCATATGGAGAGCGATTGCAATTGGTTTTGGCATGGGTCGGGGGCCAACTTTTTGAATAAATAATCACAACGTAGGCAAAAAATAAATTTCATAAATTGGCAAAAAACAACAAGAAGGTAACAACAGTAACAATAACAACAACAACAACAACAATAAACACATACAGACAAGAATCCATGTCCAGCGCCCAACGCTCGATGGTCGACGTCGTCAATCTGCCACGTTTTTAACGTTGCGTTAATCCCCGTCTGCTGCATGCAACTCTCGTTCACTTTTGTTTTTGCAGCCTCTCGTCCTCGTCGTACTGCCACAGACTTCCTCCCCTTTCCCATCTCCCCTCTCTTTCTCCTTCCTTTGATATCCGGCCTCGTTTTTATTTTTCTTTTTTTTTTTCTTTTGGCATTGTCGTACTTTCCATAGGTTATTATTTTTTTATTTCACTTTTCGTTGCTGCACACATTTTCCACACTACCTTCTCCGCTCTTACGCCACTCAATGGAAGTCAAATATCTATCGATAACGAGCATAAATTACCAATAAAAAGCGATTACATTTTACCTCCGATACATTATATTTATTTAAAAATATTTATATTTGTTAATTATTGCATAGATTTGATAACTATGTTATATGGATCATATTCGATTTTCTATATAATCGATATATTTACCAAATGCTTCTTTTCTTAAAAATAAATCATTTGTTAGACGTTTTATATATCAGTGCTTTCTGACTGTTCGCAATATGGTTCAGTTACTTTTATAGTCAATCATATACTCGATAGTGCTAGCTTTCATTTGAATTCAGTAATCGTAATTTATTCAGGATGTTCGTTAAAATACTTATCCTTATAATCGATTATCTATTCGATAGTGCTAGCTTTCATTTGAATTCAATTATCGTTGTTTTTTTAAATATACCCTAGAATTAATTAATAATTAAATAATATTAATTATATATGCACGTACATATGTTAATATTCGTAAACTATTCGATAAATATATTCAAAAGCGTTAGTTTGAAATAAAGCCGATCAGAAAGCGAATATATTACTAGATTCGATTGCATATTCAATTGCAATAAAATGCAAATGCAAAAGAGAATGAATATATTTTGAATCATTTAAGCACTTAAATATTCGATAGTATTCGTTTTGCTTCAAATTTATAAAATGGTGTAAATCGGTAATGCTAAATAAATGTGTGTCATATCCACATGTATATCTATTTGAGGTGCTTCCATAAAAAAAATACAAATTTGTGTTATTCGATTATTCATTCTCTTTTGTTTTGATGCAAATAATACACACACACCCGCAGTCCCTTTAATGTTATTGTTCGTAACAAAAGGGCTTGACAAATCGTGTCAACTCATCGTGTGTCATGGATAAGATTCACACTCTTTGGTCTCCTCAGACACGGCACAGTGGTTCAATGCCATACAATGCAATGCAATGCAATTCAATTCAATTAACGGCCTGGCAAAGCTTTCAACGTGCGCAATTAGCTTTTGTGTTATTGTTATTGCTGGTGCTGTTGCTGTTGCTGTTGCTGTTACTGGTGGTGTTGGTGGTTGGCTCGCCCACAACAACAAACAAGCCAAGTATATAAAAAACAAACCAAAACAACAACAACAACAACAATAGCAATTTCTGCTGATCTTTGCAGTAAGTTGGCAAATTGCCTGCCAACTGAGAACGCCTGCCGCTCACACACTGTCAACTGGCTTTGTCTTACGCACACACACACACACACACGGAGAGACAGATAGCCAGCCATTGGCTTTGGCCATGTTGACAAACATACACACACACACACACGCACACATACACAGAGCAGTTCGCTCGCTCGTTCTCACATTCATAAACCCATACTCTTCCATTTGCACATCCTCGTTATCGTTCTGCTCTTCAACATCACATCGTCGTTTTGTGCTGAGCTTATCCCAGTTGGATTTTATTGTTTGCAGACAAACAAACACACGCACAGTTGCCCGCTCTGACTGCATGTTGTTGTTGTTGTTGTTGTTGTCGTGCATATGTGCACGAGCAAAGGGACAAACCTTTTATGACAATTAAAACATAATTGACGGTCAACATTAATAAACCAACGACACCAAATGGTGGTAAGGAACAGCAGTTGGCTCAGACTCTATCACTTCCCCTCCTCCACCCCACTCTCTCTCTCTTCATCCTTTGTGTCTCTCTGTTCCACTTATCCTGTCCCCACTGGCATTGCGTTTGTTTGCCTTGCTTACTGCAAGATTGCAATTGAACATTTGAAGGGTGTTGCTACCGAGGTGGTCACGAAGGTGGGTCTAGGACGCACTAATCCATTGCCAGCCAGCCACCCACCTGTACACACACACACACACCCACACACACCCACACACACCCACACACACCCACACACACCCAAACACGTGTAACGAACACAAAAATCAACACACAGCCATTTTGTGTTAGTTAAAAATTCTTTTTGTCTTCTGCTAAAAAACACACCAGCAAGAAAAACAGCAAAAATGTGCGCCCAAAACTAAATTTGAAAGCAAAAGGGCTCAGTACTATACACTTTACACAATTAAATTCTTTCTGCAGGTTCTTATGGGCTCCTCATAGCATTGCTCATAAAAAACGAATTCAAATCGTGAATATATATGTATGGGTATAGCGCATAGAAATTAGTAGAAATAAAGAACATTTAAATACATTTGTTGGGTGAATGATCGACTTGAATAGGCTACATGTAAACGATTCTAAAGCAGTGCACAAAAAATGTGTTACCTTATATTAATAAATTTCATATATATTCGATAAATGTATCGTTGCAAA